GTTTATGTAAAACACCCCTTTCAATACAGGTCTCTAAAGCCAGATTAGGCCTTGAGTCGTCATCTTGCTCTATGCTATTGTTTGGACGAGGTCTAGGCCTAGTATGCTTTTTAAAGGCTAAGCATTGTCTCAGGTCTATCGTCTAAGTTATATAGGCTTGTTTTTGTTGACATTGGCTCTGAGTTCAAAATGGCCACGCTAACTTATTAGGCTATGATTGAATCATTTTGTAAAGAGTAGGTACCATACCTACTTAGCCTAAGTTATTGAAGTTCTAGGAGTTAACTTATTGTACGGTAACTGAAGTGCGGCCCAAATGTTTGGTGGGCTGAAGTGATATGTAACCTACAGTAGTTTTTGTAAAGGTGACAACAGTTTAAATCAAATCAAATCATTTATTATCATGGATATTTAGGGTAGACATATCTGTTGGCACAAACAAGCGAATGAAAATATTGATTATTCGATTGTTTCATTAAGTTAACCTAACCTAACTAACCGAATGATATATCGAATAATCGATGTATCGATCAATATTTTCATTCTGTTGTTTGTGCCAACAGACGGAAGTCCATCCGACATTTACATGCATCGACATTGCAGGGTGTCCACATTCTGGAAAGTCATGGAAGTAGACAAAAAGTCATGGAAAGTCATGGAAATCCCCAATGATGGGTGGATTTGAAGGGACCTTTCAATACTCTAGTCGGCTGTAAGCTGTAACCCCGACTATTGTAGCATTTTTTCAGAATTTTTCGCAAATGTGTACGACAATTCAATTTAGCCTATTGCAGTTGAATTAGCTAGTTTATGAGATTTGAGTTTCTATTAGGCCTAGTTCATTGTTGTACCTATTGTACTCCATTGTTATTTGTTAATACATATTTCAGTATTTTCTGTGAAATATCTTATCCAGGCAGTATTATTTGTGTGTGCATGTTATATTATAATTTTCGAGTAAAGTTCGTGAGTCATGGAAATCAATGGTACCTAAATGGTCATGGATAGTCATGGAAATTAATGACAAATTTTCTGTAACACCCTGCATTGTTAGTGGAGCAGAACATAAAATTTCAATGTTCATCGTCTTTAATCAGAGGTAACGTGAGTAGCCTATGAGTCTGTTTTACAAATTCCTTTCAACTACCTACAGGGTTAACAATCACAATAGACTGTAAACAAGTAACAAATGAATGATTAACAAAATTGAAGAAAACAATAACAGACTATTTAGAAATAATTAACACATTTAGATGTAAAGTTACAGACTCATCCACAGGTTGTTCCAGGAACTCTTCAATAGTTAGTGAACTTTCCTCTTGCTTCATCATGGCAGGCATAATTTTCTCAATTTCTTTTGGTATTGCAGGTGAATTTATTTGAAATAGAAACACTATCCAAGGTATCATCAATCAGGAATACAAGCTTTGTCGTGGAAACCATCAAAACCATGTAAGTTAGAAGTAACTTTGATTCTGAACAAAAGAAACCTTTACTTAGACTGCATGGTAGGTGACAAATAACATATGTTTAATATTCATTTGTTTATGTTGTGTTTGTAAATATTTACTTTTGGTTTTATAAAGATAGTTAATACCAAACTATGACTTTTAATTTAATATGCCTTTCAACAGTAACGAGTTTAAGCAGTTTTCTCAGGAATGGAATGTAACAATCATAACAACAAGTCCATACTATCCCCAATCAAATGGATTAGTGGAAAAATCCGTCGGAATAGTGAAAGAAATGTTAAAAAAATGTCAAGAAACAAAACAAGATCTGCAGTTATACTTACTAAACTACAGAAACAGCCCAATATCTAACCTTGAAGTTTCTCCAGCTCAGCTTCTTAACAGCAGACACTTAAGAAGTAAAATTCCAATGAGAGAAGAACTATTATACCCAAACTTGTTGAGGACAGCATCTATGAAAAAATGATAGAAACTCAGAAAGCACAAAAGTCACATTATGATAGAAAGTCTTTAAACCGTGAAGATAGCTTTACTGAAGGGCAGGAAGTATGGGTTCAAGATGTATTCAATAAAACATGGGATGAAGGAGTAATAGAGAAGAAACTTCAACAACCCAGATCTTATTTAGTTTCTATTAAAGACAAGGGTATAAATAGAAGAAATAATAGATTTATAAAAAAAAGATTCGGACTCCAAGCTCAAGGGGAAGATGACAAATAACATATGTTTAATATTCATTTGTTTATGTTGTGTTTGTAAATATTTACTTTTGGTTTTATAAAGATAGTTAATACCAAACTATGACTTTTAATTTATAATCAGTAGGCATACTTCAAACCAGGGTATAGGCTGGGATGAAATTTGTTTTAGCAGTTAAATGCAACAAACTCTCAGACAACTACGGCATAAATTTTATTGTCTAAGTCAAGCATTTTTTTATTAAATTATCGGTATTAGGCGCCTACATGATTGAACATTACATCTTCAATTTTATTTGTAGCAAATTTTGCTTTAGCCTGCAAAAACAGTGTAGGGGTAGCCTAGCATTTTAAAGTTGTGAATTATAGCAAAATGCTAAAAATGTTACTGCAGCTTTACCCATTGGAGCCGTCTTACGAAGGTTTCTCGTACGGCCGCTGCAGGCCCGGCGGCCGACTTACGAGTGCCGCTTGTGTACGCAGCGCCACTTGTCATTTAATTATTATTTTTCACCCTTTTTGTTTCTTCTTACTTTTATAATGTTTATAAATATCTTGCTTCTTGTTTTGCATATTCACTAATTTAGTTTTGTGAATAACAGACAATGTTGTGTTGCCTTAGAAACCAGATCAGGTGCGGTATGTTATTGGCAAAACAAACATATTTTTTCCTACAGTTACCTAACAATCTACATGTTCTCTCACTGATTTGAGAAAGCAAAGTGGCCAATTCGCTCATCAGTGAGACAATGTTAACATTGTCTCACTCTTATTACTTTGTCTCACTCACTCCAGATTTGCAACGTGAAGGCACGAAATAGTGAGCGCGTAACATGCAGACAAGGTCGTATGCACGCGAAATACGTTTGCAGCACTGGCTGTAAATCAGCTGGTCAGCTGTTGTAGGCCTTACTGTTGTATCATTAAATGTAATATTAAATGTTCACTTCTGTGTAAAAATATGTCACGTTTCTTCACCATTGTTTTATGGTAACTGTAGGAAAAATATAATGTGCAACTTGAGTTCAAAGTGCAATTGACTCACTCGAGAGAAATACTTAGGCCTACTCCCTTTGCTCACTAGTTGCACAAATAACTATTCAATGTTATTACACTTATAAAAGTAAACAACTTGTGATTTTTCTACGTAGGGAATAAATTGAACTTTATAACAGTAGTGTCATTTGGTGTCTAAATTAATCTTGGAATTAGAAAAATTAAGTTTACTTTAAAAAAATTTTTATAAAATTTTTAATTTTAAAGTCCTCTTTATATAATTTATTTTATTTTACACTTTGCCTACCTAACTTATACAATTACCACTTTTTTTGTAGACAATTTTACTGTGAGCAAAATGGCGAAAGAATTGTTAATTTATTAGCTAAGGTTTTTTTCTATAACAATAAGAGTAAAATTAGAAGTTTAGGAGTTACAGCCTATGAAAAAATGTCTTCCGGTGTACATTTTGCATCATGTAGCTCCTAAACAAGTAGTTTTAGCAAAAATGCAAAGAGTAAGTAAGTCTTAAAATTGCATCCCTATTAAAAAAAAAAACCATAAAATACACAGTTTTCCACTTTTCAGGTTTGCTGCCATTTTGGAAAATGGCCACCATTTTTTAAATAATATCTATATATTCATTTGAAACTGTTTTTCTTTGTCACAGCTATTTTGAGAGAACGGCTGTGTGTAGAAACTCGGTAGAGGTGTCTAAAGAAAGGTCTTGGTCTGTAGATGAGCCATCAAAAGAGAAATATGGTGAATTCCCTTGGGGCTCTGCCCCCGTGGCCTTTAAATTCCCATCCCATGTTATTCTTATGGAGGAACACGGGGTTTTTGTCACAGCTAATTTGAGAGAACGGCTGGGCGTAGAAACTTGGTAGGGGTCTCTAAACAAAGGTCTTGGTCTGTAGATGAGCCATCAAACGAGGAAAGAGGTAAATTCCCTTGGGGCTCTGTCCCAGAAGCCTTTAAAGTTGCCTCTTCAGATTTGTTTACATTACGACCATATGGATAATTGTACACTACTTTTTAATGCAACAGCTGTTAATATTTAAATTGTGATTTATTGAATTTGTCAAAATGAAGTACAGCATTTGCAATGGATTTTTCTGATTTCAAAATTGATTTTCTTCTGCATCAAGTCATGTTTTGCAATATAATGTTCTATTACCAAATCAGTGGAAAATCCTAATATCACAGTAACTTTTAAAATCATTTCTTATTAAGATAACTTATATCTATTATATGGGTTGGTTTCTGCCTTTTTTACCACTTTTTGGAGATTGTACGTAGATGATATTCTTTGGAATATTGCATCTGTAGACGAAACTTGGGTTGGTGTAATTATTACAATGGAAAAGAGCAAGAAATCCTGGACAATTTGATATAGGCTAAAAATAAAACTGAATTAACACTGTGCTACATTTCTTGAGCAATCATTGAAATAACCGATTTGCAAACAATGGAAACATAGAAAAAGTCATAGAACACAACCAAGTAGACGAAATAGAAATAATGTTTTTTTACACTAAAAACACTAAAAAAACAAGATCAGCTTTTTGAAAAAGACAAGATATTTACAAAAGATTTTGATTATATCTAACTGTTGTGTAGATCGTGAGTATTTCCATAATCTTTGAGTCGCCTGTAATGCTTCGCAATTGCTCGAATTCGAGCAACAGGTACACTAGTAATTCACTTATTTTATGATGTTTTATGGTACTTTTTGGAATGCAATTTTAAGACTTGTTTACTCCTGCGGTGGAAGGTTAATTCCAATTGTATCTATTTGAAAAAGGATAAAACTAATTACATTATTTTGTTTCAGATTTAAATCCTGTGGAACGGAAACAGTCTCCTTTAAATCTGTTGACGACTTGGCTGTGAAATATATTAAAGGTAGGCCCTAGTCATATTATTTTTTGACAAAAGTAAGGTGGTTCAAACATTACTCAAATCTGTTAAGCTATTAAAAGTTAATTCTTGAGGATAAAGATTATTACGGCGTCTGATAATTTATTGCCGTCAGACTGTTGCAATAGATTTTTGAAAAAACTAAATTTGTTGGTCAATAATATTTTTTAGTAACTTATGTAGACTTGTCTAATGCAATGCATAGCCTATTGTCAATTTGGCCAAGCTGAATTAGTTATTTGTCAACATCTTAAAAACCTAAAACTACAAAGTAGTCAAGTCTCGAAATTTCGGGAAATTTTAAATCTCGTTACACGAGACGAGATTTCTTTTTGGCCGAGATTTTTATCGAGACGAGAAAAAAAAAAAAAAAAATTAAAACGCCTGCAGAAAGTCAATGCAATACCCGCAATACAGGAGCGTGTTGTAGTTGCGTTTCCTTTGCGAAGGCGTTCTCATTTAATTAATTCTTTAAATGTAAATATTACTTTAATTATTTTAATAATATTACTTTAATGACATTTGAGAAGTTTTGTTAAGTGTAAGCAGTGTGAGGAATGTTTTATTACTATAAAAAGTCAAAACAAGTAACTATTTTATAAAAATTAATGTTGCTTTTATTTTATGATTTATTTTATTTTAGGATAAGTTGAACTCTATCCTAACTGATATCACTATGTTTCCTAATCATAGGCATTTTTAATAAGTTAGGTGTGATTATTAAAAAAATGTTATGCTGATGTTTTTTAATAAAAGATTGTAAATATTCTTGCCTATTATCATTATTTTTGTATTTAGACAGTCATCTAACAATGTAACAAAATCAGGTGAAAAATTTTAAACGTGCATTTCCCGTTGTGTATGAGAAGGGAAATCCCGTCTCGATCTCGTCTCGAAATTTTATGAGAAATAAAAAATCTTGTCTCGTCTCGTCTTTAACTAAAAATCCAATCTCGTCCATCCCTACTACAAAGGTTCTTTATTAAAGGAGGTAGAAGCTGTCATTATCGTCTACCGTTATTGCCGACAAATCTTGAACATCTGTGGTCTTTTAGACAGCATTCTGGCTCAACTCTGCTTAATTTATATAGGTTAAAATACTCAAAATTTCGGTCAAAATCCTATATCCAAATTTTGGTTTTTCCGAATGGGGTAACGTACAGTCAATTGATTTGGATGGCTGGAATGTAGGCAGAGGCACAGTTTGTAACCCAGTCTACCCAAATTGTATTGATTATATTTTGGTTGTCCATTTAAAAAAAGGTAATCAAATGTATAAATTAATAGTAACTTATCAATCTGTTCTAGATTGTATTCATTAAAATGCAGCTCTGTTAAAAAGATAAACAATATTGTAACTGTAACCATAAATGTTTTATCCTAAAATACTAATAATTACTACTAACTGGTAATATTGTGTTGTTCTTTTTCATTTTAGAGTTCTTCCCAGAGATAATAAAGGAGAAGAAATTCAATTTGAAAAATGAAGATGATGCCCTGATTTTAATCTCCCTGCTTATGTACTCAACATGTATCAAGTTAAAGATTGAAGAATTCGTTACAAAAACCTGTTCAATCAAGTTGGAAAATAATCATGAAGAGATACTTAAGCAATTTTTTGAGTTGATGCTCAAAATTGAAAATGGACTTTTCACAAGAAAAAACATAATGAATATCATTCAGCAATGCTTTGGTGAGATTTCAATGAATTATTTGTATCGATTTAGCGAATTTCCCATATAGGGAATAAGCTATTACCGTAGGTCTCATGGTGAGATCTGGACCCAAAACCGATTTACTTTTTTGTTTTGATGTCCCCAGAGGCCTAAAACACCATCCATTAAATAATATATGCATTTTATTAGGCTATATGTCCAATAGCATGAACTCAAGCAAAAATCACCAGATGTTGATGAAATTTGGGACAAACGTGTAAACCTTTAAGTACTTTTATTCGGACTACGTGAACCAGGATGATCAGACCATAGGAAGGGGTTTTTTTTTGGGGGGGGGGGGTTTATGGGGTGAAAATAGGTTTAGGGTATATCTAATTTTTGACCCTCAAAACATAATATTTCTCAATTTCTCTCTAAACGTTTTTAAAAAAGCTTGGAAAAGAAATAATTGAGTGTGCATTGTGATTTTTTGTAAAAAGTTACGGTATATGTTATGGAGGAAATGTAAAAAATTGTTAACTTAAAATTCCCATGTTATTGTAGTACTTAAGTATACTTCAGGAAATTTAAGCATTCATTGGAAATAAAACATTAATATCGGGAACAATTTGAAATGTACACGTTTTTGATTAAAAATTTGGAATATTTAATGTAAAGATTTTTTTCTTTTTAACTACCTTGACCAAAGGGAGAACAATCCATTAAAAATAATACATCAGTAGATATACATGAATAGATAATACATGAATATATATTTTTTAAATTCATTTTCGTGAGCGTTAGCGATCTGATGTGTTGTTAGTGACCTGATGCGGCGCTTGCAAAACAGACATTTTAAGGCTTTAATTATGGCACTCAGCGAAGTAAAGAAGTAGTATTTACTGCAAATGCAAGTCATTTTCAGACATTACAACTTTTAGTATAAATTATCTTGTTTTAGTAATATTACTGATGTTAGAAAAACTTTAGCGATCTGACCCATAGAAATATAACATTGTCATCACCAAAGTACTGGTAAGAAAGTATATTCATTTGAAACAAAGAAGGTTAAAACAATTCCACAGTCATTACATCTAAATCTACTGGATCTGTGATGAAACAAAGAATAATCAGGTACAACATCAGGTCAATAACGTCAGCGACCTGAGTTAAACGTTTATTAAGAGCAATAAAGTCAGGGACCTGAGTATTAGCGACCTGAGGAATTCGGCCGTCTTTGTCGATAGTGCCGTTGTAACAGCTAAAATGGCGGTAAACAATCTCTGTGACAACAGTGCACCTCAAAAACTATGATATTCATTTTTAAAATAATTTTTATTAACACAAATAATTAGTTTATAGACGTTAGCGACCCGACAGACAATAAACATAACAACAGCTCAATAGATATTATTTGGCGATTGAATGGAAAATGAAATCCGGACAAACACTGCATAGTCCACTCTATCCATCTGTCATGGCGACACGGATGGCTCTGGTGGGACTCTAGGAGCGCTAGCGGTGATTATGGCGGCAAATTTAAATTCCCATTAATACTTGGCGTTTTAACGGGGGAATTACATTTACATGCTAAAATTTTATTTCAGAGTGATCATTTAATTGTAAAACACTTAATAGGGCTTAATAAAGACACAGAACAATGTTTGTACAGCATAAATAGTATTTATTTTTATTTTTAAATTTCATAAACTGTTCCAAGTTCCTCTATGAAGTCTTGGGAACAGTTAGCGACTGACAAAAACGGCTTTCAAATATTTGTAATAATAATATTTTTTTAAATAATAATTGTGTTAAATATTAATATATGATAAATCATCTAATAAATTGTATTATTAATGTTATTTATACATGGAACAATTAAATAAAAATAAGTTTTGGATTTTTTATTTATTTACAGTTTTTTTTGCTGGGACAAAAATTATCTCTCAATTTGATATTCACCCGTATACATAACATTATTTTCTATCTTTGAATTACTATGGGCAGTTTGATGGGCCATCTTGAGTACTAGCATACCAAGGGGTTTTTCCTCTCTTTAATTTCTTATAGGCATACACAATTGGACAATATTAGATAATTTTAGTTGAAAGTTACAGATGGTTTTTTTATGAATATAATAATTTGTTTCAGAGCCTGAGGTTGTACCTGTTGGAAGAGCATCTCTCTCACCTTCACAAAAGAATTGTCTTAAAGAATTTCTTGGGGTACGGCAATTACTACTTTACTATTAAATTAAGTAGCCTATTTTAAGTTTTGACATTGTATAGCCTACTTTCTTATGACAATTTAACTCTCAGTGCATAGGAACGAGAATAACATATCTGCTGAGCTTTACATTAGCATTCTTAAGTTATTTTTAATCAGTACTTTCCAAAGCAATTCGATTTTGACCCAAGAACCAATAAGGTACCAACCTTTTTTTACCTAACCCAAAGTATAAATGTCTAGTTCGCTCGTCTAGATCCCTAATAATATTATTAATAAATGAAATAAAATAATGTATTATTTAATCCCCTAGCCTTCTAGTACCATTCACTAATCAAATAGTAAAAGTTCATTTAGTTGAAGATCGAAATTTGGATATTTCTAAACCCCCTCATGCTTGAACCACCGAACAATCAGAATTCAGAACAGAGAGGCCTCTCGAGATTGAGCCGGTTTGGGCGACATACATTTTAAATATGGCCTTGTCTGAATTGAAATTAGGAGGCAAAAATCACAGAGTTTGTTGCATTATAAAATCCAAATAACCTCAGATAGGCTGAAACACTGTCTCCAGTATTCAAAAGTGGAGAGGATGGTTTCTAATTCAAAAGTGTCAAAACTTTCCCAAAACATTTAGATGTGTATTTCATTCAATTTTTGTTGTTTCAGTCACCATCTCTTCAAGAAAAATACAAAAAGAACAAAGAGGTAAATGATGTCAGACATCTTAATCAATTACTTCAAGAGGAAAACGCTGAATTGTTGTCAGAACGAGACCTTCTGTCAACAAAGAATCAACAACTTGATTCATCTGTACAAAAGCTTCGTAGGTGGACTTAAATTTGTTATAGATTTTAAGAATGAACTTAAAAAGTGTTGGCTCTAATTAAAGAAGGTACCTCAAAGGGGTGTTGATGATTTTAGAGTGAGTTATTTCTTATATTTTATTAGCTTATGAAAATTCCTTCATTCAAAGAAACCCATGTTGGATAACAGATTCGACAGATTAAACACATAAAACCACTTTGTTGACATGTCTAGAGGGTTGCTTTGTATTTTTACCTGTCTTTACTCATGTGATATTAGATACACTATTCTTAGCAAAAATAAACAAATTGTTTATTGTTGTATGTGCCATATTTTACAGAAATTCAGCTGAGCGAAAAAACGCAAGAAATTATTTCCTTAAAGGAAGAGTTGAAGCTGCATGAAGACAGAGGCACCACTCAAAATGCACTCAATAAAATTGAAAAACAGTTTAAAGAAGAAATTGATCAACTTCAAAAAGAATTAAAAGAAATGCAATCAGAGCATGAGCATTTGCAGAACGAAAAAGAAAAATACATTTGGCTGGTTAGTCGTGTAGTACATACTTTTATTTGTTATTTACTATTCTCACTGTTTATTTTCTTTACTTTACTTACTTACTTTACTTACTTTATTTGGTACTTTCCTGTTAAAGGGAACATTCATTATTATCTATGATTTTTTCGATATATCGATATTTTTGTTTTCCGATCCATTACAAATTGACAACTGATCTTGTTTCTAGGCTAAAATAGACTAGGTATTATATGGATTAATGAAACTGTTCCAAGCTAACCTAACATAACCAACCAAACTTGTTGTGCTATTTAAAAATTCCTTTTGATAACAAAAAAGGCAACTTAAACATGGATTTTTTAAATGTTACACAAGTTTGGTTAGTTATGTTAGGTTATTTATTTAGAACAGTTTCATTTTATTATTGTTTGTTGATACTGAACAATATTTATCGTAGTTGTCAGCTGATATGTTTCAATTTGTTAATATCGATCGATATATCGAGAAAAAAATCATTGATAATAATGAATGTTCCCTTTAACAGGAAAGTACCCTTTATTTTCTACAAACTTAAATTGTTTGTTAGCAATAAAAATAATTGTTTTTCTTAAATAATTTTAATACAAAGGGATTAACTATAATTGTTGTGAATTAATACTAAAACTATTGTTCAACAAAATAGGCTTATTAAAATTATTCACAACTTTCATCCACAAAATTAAGAATAAAAGTTATCTACACTTATGTAATATGTAACTCCTAAAATGTGTCAAATCATTTAAATCAATCCACCACTGAAAAAATAATCATAAAATGTTATTAATATAGTGAGTGGAAGAAAGCTAATGACTCTTTAACCTCAATCAACTTACTTTTCAAGATATTTTACATTTTAAAGTTTATTTTTATTTCAATTTTGATCATAACACGTAAGTTTGTATCCCAGTATTATTCATGGTGTCTACTCTCCAGGAAATTCTGGAAAACCGGAAAGCCTCCTGGAATTTGATCGTACCGTGGAATATCCTGGAAAACTCCAGGAATTAACTCAAACCTCCGGGAATCCGGAGCCAGGTCATCGTAAACGTCGGTTAAACGAAACCCTAACAAAACACTACCGCTGGTGTTGCCGCGATCGCGGAAAACAATTATCGGTGTTGCTGAAACCGAAAGATATGCTCACCGGAATTGCCACGATTGCGGGAAACGATTATCAGTGTTGCCAAAACCGTAAAATATGCTCACAGGTATTACCACAATCGCTGAAGAAGATTATCGGTGTCCCCGAAACCGCAAAACATGCTCCCGGTTGTTGCTGCGATGGCGGGAAACGATTACCTGTGTCGCAGAAACTGCAAAATATGCTCACGGATGTTGCCGTGATTGAGGTAGATGTTTATTGGTGTCAACGAAACCGCAAAATATGTAAATGTGAATGTTGTGTTGTGTAGTATTGCCACTATTGCGTGATACGGTTGCCAGTGTCGCCGAGACTACAAGATATGCTCACAAGTATTCCCATGATCGTGGGAGATGATAACTGGTGTTGCCTTACCTACCAGTTATACTGTTTTAATATGTTGTATAAAACGTTATTCTTTAGAAAAGTTTTTTTCTAAGTTATAGTGATTGATTACCAGTTATTGAAAAAATAAAATACAATTACTAACTTACTATTTCTGAAGTTTCCTTTTTAAATAAATTAGTTAAATGCATTAGGTACGGTATGTAATAAAAATTGTGATTTCTTTTTTAAATCTTTTAAAAGTTTTTACTTAATATAAAACGACATGATAAAGCTTAAAGTAGGATTCCGGTAGTAGTTCTTAAAATTTAGTAATTTCTCTTGAATTCTCCTGGAAAACTTGAATTTTTCAATCCAGATTTAGTAGACACCATGTTATTGTTTCTGTGTAACCTAAGGTGAAAATAAATTATTACCTAATTATTGACTAACTGGATACCATCCACACTGATATTTTCTCAAATGTGTCAGCAACTATGGTGCATTGAAGACTTATTTTTTAAATCATATGTCAATTTAAGTATGTTAATTTTTTAGAATAGTGACCTGAAACAAGCATTGAAGGAGAGAGAAGATGAACTTGTTGAAAACTTCAAACTAAATGATCAACTACAACTCAAGCTGGAAGATCTAGAATCAAAAAACAAAGCCCTTGAAACTTCAGTTAAAGTAAGATGAATTGTTATATATAGATTACTACGATATTTTAGGGGCAGTTTGGGAGCTTGTGTCCAGGTAGAACGTGCCCAGTGTTAGACGCGCCTCACTTTAGTACATGGATCAAAAACTAGGCTTGGGAGCTCGCGCCTAAGTTGTAATGGTCGTAGAGCAAGTATAATCATAGTACTGGCTACGATGGTATTCCTGTGGTTCTTTTTGAAAAAGCAAATTCAGTCCTAGCCTACTTAAACCAATAACCCATCTCACACACTGAATACACGGAACTGGAAATGTCCGGTTCTTAGATGCAGACTAGCGCTAATACCGAGCTCCCAAACCGCCTCTCAGTGTTTTGTGCCTGGTTATTGCAATTTCAGTTGTAAATTTCCCGTTATCTAGTTTGAATGTTAAGTGACTAAACAAAATACAACTTTATTTTTTTGGACATTATACAAGTCATTTGTTTATTATTACTGTAGACCTACTTTTAAATTCTTATTTTAATATTTAATTTTATTTCGGCTACATATGTTACGGTTTACTTAAATCATTACATTTTGGGTAAAAAGAACTTTTAATACCTATGCCTGCATAAAGCCTTGTAAAAATTTAATTTTTTTTTAAAATTAACTCATTAGGTCTATTTTAAAATTAAGTTTTATCATAAAATTAAGTCAGTGAAAGTATAATTTATGCACTGCCCAAACTATAATGCCTTCTAGAAACTTGAAAGAATTGCATAGGTTAAATGAACAATGCAGTATGAAAGAAATTTTCAAATGTTCCATAAGGCTCCGCCTCACATTTCACCCAAGTTTAATTTGCTAATATTATGAACATTTGTAATAGTGTTTCTTAACTATTCCAGGATCTCAACCAAATTATAGAACAGCTTGAAGAAAAGTCCCCTCTAAAGGCCTTGAATATTTCTGGTCCCAGGGTAGAAGAGAACCTTGGGCAGGTTCTATGTGATTTAGAGCTTAAAGAGAAAAAAGTAGAAATCGAACAACTTAAGAAAAAACTGGATTCGTTAGAACTTGAGTGCAGACAAAAGGTGAGCATTTTATCATTCAATCCTGATTCCTTGAATCACTATGAACAAAAGCCTTATATTTTATTGAGTCTTTAATAATGCAACTTGCTATAAAATTTAAGGTTATGTCAGCATATGTGTTTCAGCATAATGCATTGACTTCAATATTATGCCTTTAACGAGAAAGTTAATAGAAAATCCCCTTTCTGTAGACATTACTCATGGTGCCTATTGTTGGCACGGAAAGCTTAACAGTTTACAGTAGAACCCCTCATATCTGACCTCTGCATGACCGACGATTCACAATTTCACTGTGATTGCCAACAATGTTCTTGATTTTGTCATCACTCTGGAAGGAGTGGAAGGTGTTCACAATTTCACCGCGACCGGGGGAGTCGTTCTCATATTTGCTGTGACCACAGAAGACATGATTTTCTGTGACCAAAGACAATTTTTTAACAGAGTTGGGTTTCTCATATGCGATAGTGAACAGAGATTTGTGAATGTTTACGCAAGCAAATTCAGTACCTCGTTTGAGGCGAAAGAAATCCTTGTAAATTCGTCCTAAAACCATATTCCAACAAAATGGCACTAAAATCAAGTTTTCCCAGTTAAATTTCACGATTCACTCACAAGTCCAGGGAGTTTCTTACTTTTCTTGTTAAAGGAATTTTTTTTCTCCTCCTGATAGCTGACCTTTTGATTGTTCCGACTATAATGGTAGACAAGCTTATTTTGTGTTTGGTCTTTCATGGTCGGATATGAGGTGTTATACTGTATATAATATAAAATCAGTGATCCAAATTTCCATGTACCATACTATAAGTTTAAAAAATCTAACTTTCAAAATATCTTATAATTAAGTCATTGTCCAAAAACTTAATATATATTAATAATACATAAATTGGATGTTTCCTGAAATCTGGGGCACAGAAGGTATGCTAGACCTCTGTTCTGCATGTCCTGGATCAAATCCCGCCAATAACCAATTGTTTTGGCTTGGAGATAATGTGTTACTTATTATTATTAGTGGATTGGAGCCCACCTTAGTCAAAATGATGGTTATGGTTTGTGAAGAAACCCATATAAAGATCGCTCAGTAGAATCATTTCATTGGAGAACTCTTGTCTCTAAAGCCTGGTTTACACGGGTCGAGTACGGTGGGCGAGTCAGTGTGCGAGTTGCCACTCGCTCTTTAGCTCGCTTGGTGTAGACATGCAGGCGAGTCGAGCAACGGGCGAGTTGATAAAAAGAGGTCAGTTGAGAGCGAGTCGAGTGATTTAGTTGAAAACCGAGTTGCTCGGCCCAGTAGCTACCCCCACCACCACGATTTGCCCGCAAAACATCTGTTTACTGCTCTCAAGTGAGTCCAGCGACCACAGAATTAAAATATTTCTTTTTATTTTGTGGTCGCTGACAATGAGTCGATCACAACGATCAGTGTTTTTGGAGTTAGTCCAGTAGTGTATGCCTAATCACCCTCGATACTAAACGGTTCAGTTGAATAGTTGGCCCTGTGTTGCATTGTCTTGCTGTTCGTAAATCTACTCACTCTTATAAAATTCAGTTTTCAAAATGGTTTTACAACTTAAGATCCACAGTTCTACTGGAACGATTTTATTAATCAATGGGTTGTTAGATAGCTCACTCCCTAAAAATGTTTTCTATCAGAAATACATTGAAAACGGTGTTTTCACATTTTTTTATTTGGAGGCAACTTTTGGTTGCCGCCTATATATTTTATTTTAAAGAAAAGCAGTACCGGTATAGTAATTTGTAACAAATCTTATTCTTTTAGTATATCACCTTCCACTTTGGTCTATCGTATTTGCAAAAAAAACTTTTAAGCAACCCCTGAATTTAATGGATGATTCAGTTTTAATTCTAATAATCTAATTTAGTGATTTAACCAATTTATAAATTCAGCATTAAACTCTTGAAGTACCATTTTAAACTCAAACAACATTTAACACGAAAGCTACGATATACGGAATACCCTATACCACAGAACACAGAGAAATTATAAAAATTACTTCTCTGTGCCTACACTGTCGCTGTTCGAAATAGGAATTCGTGTAGACAGTCTAGTCAAGTACCGGGCGAGTTGAACAAATCAACAACTGGGCCGAATAACTCGTCTGACATACTCGACCCGTTTAAACCAGGCTTAAGAGTCCAAGCATACTTAATTGATAACTGAAATCCATATATATTTAACAGTATGAAAATCATTGAAATGGTCTTATTTGTTTTGTAGGATTTTTATTTTTGCACTATCGAAAAGATTCTGATTGAAAATAATATTACAATGAAAAATCTTAGATGGGAAATAAAAGAACGGTCAGCTACTATTGCACTGATGGATAAGAGTTGTGCTGAGTTGAATGAAAAACTGATCGAAGCTAAAATAATACGTGATGGCCATGTTCAAATGTTAGAAGAAAGTTTTATCTTAGAAAAAGAGAAATGTAGAATATTGGTAATTTTGTTGAATAATTAAAATAAAATTGGCTAAACTTTAAAAATGCTTGAGGAAATGTTACGCTGTTCTATTATAAAACAAAGTGCTAAGTTTTTTTTCTTCATAAATCAACTCACTTAAACTAACATGTTTTTATGTGACATCTTTAAATTTTAGTTCACTGTAGTCAAAATTAAGATACAAATTACAAATTGTTGAAATTAATAATCAAATCCAGTAATGAAACATGAAAAACTAAAATAGTAAGTCAGATGTCCTATTAACAAAGCATATTGTATTGCACGGGTATACAAAGAAAATATAAACAAGTGGTCACTTGTTATAAAGCTTTCACGATAGTAGTAATATAATTCAGAAAATGTTTTTATAATTAATTGTAAAGGTAATACTGTAAAACTCCAACAATTCAAATCACGAACTAACAGAATCCTGAACACCTCGCACAGTCATGTAGGCATCAGCATCATTTCCCATAGTCACGAAAACATCATCATCGTCTTCTGTGTTTGCATACAAATTCTGAACATCTCCAACGATCGTGTGGATATCATGGTCTCCCATAGTCATGAAAACATAACTATCGTCGTCTGTGATTGCAGAAACTACTGTATATTTATTGTGGTCAAGTGGACATCATTATCACCTCCTGCCGTCACGTATTGTCTACCGTGATTGCAGCAAAATCCTATCTCCTCCGGTCGCGTTGACATCATCATCATCTCCCATTGGCACAGAAATATAATCATTGTCTTCCATGATCGCGGAAAATCCTTAACATCTCCTGTGGTTGTGTAAACTAAAGTAAATAACTTCTTAATCAGCATCGTACATGTTATTAAACTACCTGAAAGTACAAAAAAAATATGTTAAATAATAACACGTATTACAAGGGTTTTTTTCAGTTTTTTGACATATTTTCTGTACTTTCAGGTAAACTACGTAGCCATTCTACCCACCATCACTCTCATACTTCATGCATACTTCGTTTGAAACAAACTTTCCTGCTTCATCAATTCAATAAGTGATAATATTTTGCGATAAAATTAAAATTGTATTTAAAAGTCCTCTGCTTTTATTTATACGTTTCCTGATTTTAGGAAGAAGAGGTTTCTCAACACGTAGAAACTGAGAAAAAACTCCAAGATGAACTCCAATCCAAGTGTGAGACAATCGATATTCTGACTTGCACCCTAAATGAATTGAGGGACCAACTAAAAGTTTGTGAAAAAGAACTACAAGACCAAACAAATATTGCTAAAGATCTGAGAACCAAAAGTGAAACAACGGAACGAGATCTATTAGCAATCCAAGCTAAATATAACGAGCTGGAAGTACAGCTGGCCGACTCTTTGAAAATTGCAACCCAACTAAATTGTGAAATTGCTAACAAAGATGAAAAGATTGAGCAAATGAAGATGTCGATGGAAACTCTGACTGAGGAGAACAATGATTGTCAAATGAAAAATACTGAACAGGTAAGGATTTTTATTCAATTTACTGTTGTTGTGACTGGTCTAGTGGGTAAAGCAGGGGAGTTATGTTTTGACCAATGGCTCTAGTTATGTGAGAATGAAGTGACCCAAACGTTTGGAGCTCACTCTGAAATGTAAGTCCACCCACATATAATAATAAAGAGAAGTTGGTCTGTTAGAAGAGATGTTTATGTTTTAGAGTTCTCATTCCACAAAAAAACTTATATTCTTATCTCATGAGAGGGGTCAACTTGAAATTCAATTTTAAAACGTTTTTATTAGCTCGCTTTCTTGTCCGGTACAAATTTTGCAATCGATTTTATACTAATTTCCCGATAAGCTAGAGACTTGAAACTTGAAACATAGCTCACAAATGGATGACAATGCAATATTATATAATTTAATTTTCATATTTCCCTTGGGCTACGCCTCAAGGGCTTGTTTCTATTATCTCGCTTTCTTGCAAATTTTGATACTTCCCGATGAGCTAGAGACTTGAAACTTGCAATATAGCTCACAAATAGATGACAATGCAATATTATGTTATTTAATTTTCATATTTCCCTTAGGCTACATCCCATGGGCTTGTTTTTATTAGCTCGCTAGTCGCTTTCCTACAAATTTTAATATCAATCTTAAACGAAGTTCCCGATGAGCTAGAGACTTGAAATTTGAAACATAGCTCACAAATGGATGACAATGCAATATTATATCATTTAATTTTCACATTTCCCTTGGGATACGCCCCATGGGCTTCCACATTTTCCATGTTTACATTTTGAAAGAATTTAAACATATCAATTAATTTAAGTCAGCTGTAAATACTTCAATTTGACAGTTCGAAGAGCAGAGGTTAAGAGGTACAAGTTCTGCTCCGGATATATTCTAAAAATATAAAACAAGCATTTTAAAGTCAAGATAAAACATCTGTTTAGAGATAATAATCAGGTTTTGGTTATATATTAACAGGCCATATAAAATATATTTAACATATTTAAACATTAAAGACTAAAAAGTTGAAAATAATTTATAAATAAAAGTTTTTTTTTAAAACGTTTTTAAACGCACTGAAAAGTAGAAAATTATTTTTAAATATGTTGAGAGTATAAATACTTGTAAGATTTAAAACAAAAAACGTTGGGTGCATGCAATTAATTGATAATAATAAATTAGTTCAATAGGTGAAGGTAATTGTAAATTATCAACTGCATGCACCCCACGTTTTTTGTTTTAAATCTTACAAGTATTTATACTCTCAAAATATTTAACAATTATTTTCTACTTTTTTTTAGTGCGTTTAAAAACGTTTTGTTTAAAAAAAAAGCTTTTTATCTATAAATTATTTATTAATATAAAGTATTGTGTTAACAAGCCTTGGATGATTGGCTAAATTAAAAGGTTTTGTAGCGACTGCCATATCTACAAATTTATCCTCTTCTACAATTGGTTGTACTAGTGGCTTGTAGGGGCAATAGCCCCTATATTATGGTAATTATTTTGTACAAATTATTAGTCTCATGAATTACCCTACCTTGAATTATCATTTAATATTTTTGTAAATTATGATATGTAGGTATAATAGTTATTACATACCTGCATAATGCATTTTGATGTCTTGTAACATTCGCAATTTTATTGCTACTTTCAAATAATACAGAGGTTGGCCCCCTCATGTATCCCAAGAATTTATTCAGCTGTAGTGCTAGCCTACAGTCTGCTTGAAACCCAATACAGTGCATTAGTGTTCACCTTTTGCCTACTGAAATTGAAGGAACCACAAAATCCCAATACCAGCCCAGCTTAGCAAGTTCAATTGAAAGCGACCATCAGCTGTTTGGATGACTCATCAGTGCCTGCATCATCCTGTTAGCTGATATCAGGTGGACTGGGGTTTAGGTTTGTCTTGTTCTGGCAGTCTTGGAAGCTTAAGCAAATTATTCACCCTTCAGGTTTCTGGATTAATTAAGGTAAGAGTTTAAATAATTTTCATTGCAAACAAATTTAAATAATGAAATATTAAAAAACCTCAACCAATCAAAACAGATTATTGCTAAAAATGTGTAATAAGTTGTTAGATTAATATTTTCTAGTTTATTTAGTTAAATTAAAGGAAATGGAAGTTTTCAAGCCTAGTAGTCACATGTTTTCAGAGCTTAACTAAATTTTATTTATTTATCATTGTACATTTTAAAGTTGCTGTATATATAAAATAATTTGTTTGTTGTAATTCAAGTGTACTAATTTCATCAAAATAATCATGGTAAATATTTGTGTGAAAATATTACTTTTGATGATTGCAAAGCAAGTGCTAAAAGTTGTTTTAACCTGCAAAAGTTCAGGAAATTTCAGGATAACTAGATTTAGGAAAAATGTAGATTCCCATGTGTTTGTAATTATTAAATATTTTTTGTGTTCTATAGTGTCAAGCTGTTTTATAGTAAATTAATTCTGTTAGGTAATGACAGGAAAATCTTAGTAGAGCAGAGAGTAAATTTTTATCGCTTATCTGTAAAGACAGCCAAATGTTAAATTTGTCCTTAATTAAAATACTTCAATTTAAAGTAGACTATTAATTGTTTATTGCTAAGAATTACTATTTTAATTATTGTCTATTAACTCAAAATATTATCTGTTGCCTTTATTGTTTAATGTTCACTGTGTTGTTCAAATTGTTCATTATTATTGCTGTAACTAAAACAAATATTTTCCTCTCTGTAATTAATGTTCAAAAATTAGGTTTGTCCTTTTTGTATTTAGTGATTGCATATCTGAAAACATATTTTAACTTGAAACAAATATTTAAAGTATGAAATTTGGAATCAAAGATTATTAAATAAATATATTTGTGTTAATGTAAGTTTAAGAATATGTTACATTCTTATGGAATATCCTAGGGTTTTACCGCTACCGCTATCGCTGGATTCTGGACCTGGACCTGGACTTCCTGGTGTCTCGTCCTACCTACTATCGCTGTATCGACTATCGTTTCAACCTACCGAGGATCTACATTGTTGAAGGACCTCGTGTGTGCCTTAGCCTATGGACTATCGTGGGTCGACCCATTCGTACCAAAAGTAAGAATTTTCCAATTTGTACGATATTTATCTTACTCTGAGACCAACATAACTGCTGCAAACCTACATCATTGAGGATTTCGGACACTTAGTTCTTGGTTGAACGATTATTTTTGCAGTGAATTTGCACTAGTACTAGTGAATTTTGATAGCATCAATAACACAGACAGTGAGTGTGAGATCTACCTTCACCTGGACAGGACTCCAACTGATTTTGCCAGAATATCTAGCTGTAATTTTGTTTAGCTTAAGTATTGTTATATTTGTTGGGTATTATATTGTTTTATATGTCATAGTGTATGTAAATGTTCTTATGTGATTTTGATTCTTAGCTGGTGGCCACCGAATTTATTGAATTATATTATTATACTTGTTCTTGATTTATCAGTTGAATATTACAATCAAAATAATTAATCGTTAGTTTGTGTTAATAATTTTTACATTTAGATCTGAAACTGAATCAATCATTAAACTTAAATAATTCTTGGGTTAGATAACAAATATTATCTTGTGGAATAACTACTGTTGTTGGACAGTCCCTTTGTTATCTTGCTATATCAACTGAAATACTTATCTCTGATAATACATTCCTTGTTTATTCATTCAGTGTTATTTATTTAGTTACCTATGATCTAGACAGTTGGTTCATTTACATTCTTAGAAAATATAATTCAACTTTTTATCAATTTTCACAAATCAATACAGAGTTTATTAAGATTAGAAATTTGACTATACTGCAATAGTTCTTAGTTTGTGTTAGATGTATGCAAATTTTTGTCTTCTATTTTGAATGGTCGAGGTTCAATTTAAATTATCAAATATTCCCTGAATATCAGCTACGGGTTCAACAACTCAAGAGTGGAGTTTGACCCTCGCTTCGACTCCAGGACTTCTCCTTTAGCGAGGTGGCGCCCTCAAACTTTGACCAAGAGGAATAGTAGGCCTAGATTGACTATTAAAAATTGCAGGACCACTCCCATCACTGAGTTAGCGGGTAAAAATCGTCGCAATGGCGCCTGCCAACGTGGGGCAAAGAAATTTGGCATAAGCCTACATAGGAAAAAAATAATAAAAATAAAAAAAATAAATAAAGAAAAAAAAACCTATATATTGTTTATAGAGGTGTTGCTGGCAAATCGTTTGAATTGATTCACATTCAAATATTTGTGGATCTTGTTTGTATTATTTGGTCTTTGAAAAAAAATATATATATTTAGCACTTATTCAACTTGTGTGTTTTGGACATTAGGCTACTTTAATGATTTTATGCTGATTTTGTTACCATTGTCTACTGAAGAGTTATTAATTGTTGTATGTCTTTTGCTGGTTTACTTGGTTATTTGATAAAAAAAAAAAAATGAATTCTCATCGGTTACGCAAAACTGAAGTTCAGTATGAGTTAAAGATAAGGGGACTACGTACTGACGGAACGGCTAATGAATTAAGGAAGCGACTAACACATTGTTTCTCAAATAATATTAAAGTGGATGAGGCTGTTGTACTAAAGCTGGATCCTGAAACAGAACTTGAAGAATGTGAGGAAAAATATTCTGATCTCTCTTCATTAGTTGATGAGTATGATGGAAATGGGAAAGATAGCGAAGGTCAACGACTTATTGCCCGACTGGGACATCTTACTCAACGCATTGATAGAATTCCCTTAAATGAGACTAATAAGGAGGAATTTGAGGATAAACTTGTAGAATTATTGGCAAAAAGTAAGAAATTACTTGACTTAGTCACGAGTAAAGAAGATAAATCAAATGTTGATCCATCTAGTGAAGAGGAAGATCGTGAGAAGGAAGAAAGTGTCTCCATGGTAACAACGAAGAAAGAGGATACTGCAATGAATAATGAATGTTGAGGAAGGTGGACATCGTACTGCTGTCAAGGCTATAGGTGTTGCTGGGGCTTCTACAGCACTGAACTTAGAGAATTCAACTAAAACCGTTCAACCTACTGTACCTACTTCTGTGCCTGGTAATGACAATCCCCGAACTTCACACCAGACGACAACGCCTTCATATTCATCATCTCAGAACAAAACAAAATCCGTTCCAGTCTACAAGTGGGGACTTCGCTTCAATAATGAACAAGAACAAAGTGTAGCAGCATTCCTTCAGCGAGTAGAGGAACTTAGAAGAGCTAGAGGAGTTAGCCATCAGGAACTTTTCGATTCAGCTGTCGATCTTTTTGCTGGACCCGCACTGGTTTGGTATAGGTCAACAATAGGAAGGATTAATTCTTGGGAATCGCTTTGTGCAGAGATGAGGATTGTTTTCCAATCAGCAGACCATGATGTAAGACTGCAACAGGAAATATTCAACCGAACTCAAGGGGGGAGAATGAATCAATTGATTTGTTCATTGCGTGTATGGAGGGACTGTATGCAAGACTAGCAACCAGTGTTCCAGAACAAAACCGTCTTGAACAAATTTTACACAATCTCCATCCTCAACTGCAAGACCGACTTGCCTTGTTTGAAGTGAACAGTATAGAGCAGCTTCGCTTACTTGGACGAAAGGCGGAGATGGGCCGCCGTAGGGCGAATACATCTCGTCCTATCACCTCTAACAAGACCAGCATAGAACCTGATTTAACATACCGTGACTCAAACTTTGCAAAGCGATATACAAATGTAAAATTAGCCAGTCTACAATCAAGACCTTTCCGTCAGAACACAATTAAGTGTTGGAACTGTATTAAAGAAGGGCATCGGTTTACCTCATGCCAAGAGCCAAGGACTCAATTCTGTTATGGATGTGGAGCTAGGGATGTAACAAAGTCTACCTGTAGCCACTGCAATCCGTCAAAAAACGTGTAGGTTTGGGGGTCATCTTGGATCAGGCTGACTCCCAAGTAAAGAATATAATGAAATCTTCTGAAGAAACTTTAAGGGAAAATATTAAATTAGATTACTTGTTGGAAACTGTGGATAATGATTGCCGACCTCATCTGGACGTGAGAGTTTTTGGAAGAAAAATTAGGGCTCTTTTGGACTCAGGTGCATCTCGAACTATTATTGGAAACAAAGGCCTTTGGATTCTTGAAGACTTTCCTACTAAATTGTTGAAAACATCACAGCATTTCATTGAAACTGCAGACTCCAGCCAACACCAATAAAATTATATTGGTCGCAACCTCAATAAAATTATACATGATTTTAAAATCTAAAGTGGTAAGGTCGTGAATTGACAATTAAATCTAGATATGTTAATATATTTGTATGAACCAGCTCGACATTTCTTTTTCAAGTAAAATAAATGATAACACAAAAATGTATGAAAACAAATTTATTTGCCCTCGAAAATGTTGACTTTTTGGGGATAGGCGCCGTGTTTCTCTCCAGGTTGTCTTATGTCTTTGGATATTTCCTGGAGCTTCCACAGCAGTTTCACGGATATGATTTTATTATATATATTTAATTATTTAAATATTTAAATATATAGATGTCCTATAAAGGTTTTTGTTTTGCCATTTTAAAAGTACACCAGGTTAAAACCACGAAACCACGTGAGATGCCTACGGGTGTTGCCGCGATCGCGGGAGACGATTATCGGTGTCGCCGAAACCACGTGAGATGCCTACGGGTGTTGCCGCGATCGCGGGAAACGATTATCGGTGTTGCTAAAACCGCAAGATATGCTCACGGGTATTGCCGCGATCGCGGGAGACGATTATCGGTGTCGCCGAAACCACGTGAGATGCCTACGGGCGTTGCCGCGATATGCGCACGGGTATTGCCGCGATCGCGGGAGACGATTATCGGTGTTGCTAAAGCCGCAAGATATGCTCACGGGTATTGCCGCGATCGCGGGAGACGATTATCGGTGTTGCCGAAACCGCAAGATATGCTCACGGGTATTGCCGCGATCGCCAGAGACGATTATCGGTGTCGCCGAAACCACGTGAGATGCCTACGGGCGTTGCCGCGATATGCGCACAGGTATTGCCGCGATCGCGGGAGACGATTATCGGTGTTGCTAAAGCCGCAAGATATGCTCACGGGTATTGCCGCGATCGCGGGAGACGATTATCGGTGTTGCCGAAACCGCAAGATATGCTCACGGGTATTGCCGCGATCGCGAGAGACGATTATCGGTGTCGCCGAAACCACGTGAGATGCCTACGGGCGTTGCCGCGATCGCGGGAAACGATCATCGGTGTTGCTAAAACCGCAAGATATGCGCACGGGTATTGCCGCGATCGCGGGAGACGATTATCGGTGTTGCTAAAGCCGCAAGATATGCTCACGGGTATTGCCGCGATCGCGGGAGACGATTATCGGTGTTGCCGAAACCGCAAGATATGCTCACGAGTATTGCCGCAATCGCGAGAGACGCGTGAGATGCCTACGGGTGTTGCCGCGATCGCGGGAAACGATTATCGGTGTTGCTAAAACCGCAAGATATGCTCACCACGGGTATTGCCGCGATCGCGAGAGACGATTATCGGTGTCGCCGAAACCACGAGATATGCCCACGGGTGTTGCCGCGATCACGGGAGACGATTATCGGTGTCGCCGAACCCGCGAGATTTCCTCACGGCTATTGCCGCGATCGCGGTAGGCGATTATCGGTGTTGCCGAAACCGCAAGATATGCCTACGGGAATTGCCGCGATCGCGAGAGACGGTTATCGGTGTCGCCCAAACCGCAAAATATGAATACGGGTGTTGCCGTGATCGTTGACGGTGCGACGTTTTGTCGCTGATGTTGAAGATACTGCAAGATATGCTCACTGATATTCCCACAATCGCGGGAGATGATAACTGGTGTCGCCTTACCTACCAGTTATACTGTTTTATTATGTTGTATAAAATATTATTCTTTGGAAATGTTTTGTTTCAAATAATAATAATCATTATTAATAATAATAATAGCCTAATAATAATCATTTTCATTTATTAGCTGGTTGCGATTAGTTAAACGGGTTCCGATAGTAGCTCCTTAAAATTCAGGAATTTGTCTTGAATTCTCCTGGAAAACTCCTTGAATTTTTCAAACCAGGTTTAGTAGACACCATGACAGTTACCAAGCTTATATTTGTAAATAAGTTTGATTTTATCATTATTCTATTTACATCAAAACGGTTCTTCCTTAGTTTTTATAATAATGTATATAAACTACTTGGGAATTACATAGTGTAAAACTATAACCAATTAATTGTATTTTTAAAGAGTTAAGTTTAGCATGTATGCGATCGAGCGACCACAATGCTTGGGCTCGGAGTAGTGCAAATGTATTCATGATTGCGGAGACTTCATCCCAGTCTCCTGCGGTCGCAGCTATAGCCTATTATCAATTTGATCTTGATCGAATCTTAGCAGACACTTTTGGTAATGAGAATAAAAGCTCAGTTTAAAAATCAAACTCCCTAACAGAAAATTCATTCTTCAAGAGTAAAAAATTTTCTTTGAGCCGAGGAGGCAAAGGCAACTGCCATGTCCACCGTTATAAAAATTTCATTTATACTACACCGGTGCCTATGAATCTGCAGTTTTAACTAACTTATTATTTTATGTTTTACAAGTGCTATAAATATACAGAATGGTGAGGAGTATCGGTATGTATCAAGTTTGTCAACAGTCAGTTGGACAAAAGCTCTTTCATAAAAAACCACAGTATGTTTTAAAATGTTCTCCACCACATATTTCTCCAACTAAACTCTAAATTGAATATAAATATAAATATCAATATAAATATGTTGTTTGTTCCAGAAGGAAGAAAAAGATGGAAAGAAAAAGGAAAGGCGTCCATTTGATCGCAACATAGACCTGCAAGTTCACAGATTTGATGAGGCGCAGAAGAAGGCTATATTTAAAAAAGCTCAGCTTCTTGACACAAGATTTTCAACTGGTGAAAGCAAATTCTTGTAAAATTGAACAAATTATTCATAATTGTGAGTATTAAATAATAAATTAAACGGATTAACAAAACAACATAAAGCGTTTAGTTTTAGTTTAAACACAATTGAATTTTTTTTAAACTAGGGTTTTTAATTTTAATTCTTAATGGAAATGTTCAAAAAAAATATATAGGTAGTTACTTCAATTTTAGCACCTAAATGAGAGGGCTTTTAATATATAGGTAATTAATTGAATTATTTCTAAATACTTATTGACCAATTTGCATCTGGGTATTTCTGCGGTTTTGATTTAAAATTGTGGTTTTTCAGTTTTTATGTATTTATTTACTGATTGAGACATCCATTTATAATTCTCAACTAGCTGGCACAAGACCCACCAAAGAATGCAGAACTATTAGACCCGCAATGAGTCATGAGAGGTTTCGGTTGGATGCCTTTTGAAAAATTCAGATACTACATTTAAACTGTTTATTTTAATTTTTATAAATAGTTCACAATGTGTCAATTAGCTGCTCTCAAGAAAAACACTTGCTCACATCTGCGAGACATGCAACAATTGGTTATTAACTGGGGCAAATAAACTTTACACAAGATTTTCCCTCATTAAATGGCGCAATACACAGTTAGATAAAACAAAATAGGTAAATGCAATTCATTATGGGTTTCATCTTAATTAGGCCTACTTGCACACCAAGAAGAAAACAGTTCATAGTTAAGTGTAAATATTGTTGCTTGGATTCATCTGCAATTATTTTGTCTTAGTACTCTAGGTTCTAGCCAGGGGTTGCTTTTCATACTACAGTACTCCATTACTCCAGACTATATCTAGGGGTTGCAGCATGATAAAATCCATTGGTGATTTGGCGGGATTTGAACCCTGGTCTGAACTGCCACTAGACCAGCTCACTCTTTCAATGAATGCTAATGGCTTTAATGAAACCTTCTTGGCCTAAGCCATAAATTATTTTGTGTATTACTATAACTACTTCCATAGAAACAGTTAATATTTGTCATTTTACTCGACAAATCCAGCAACAAGAACAGTAGATCAGATTACCTAAAGCTATAGCCTTTTCAAAACAGTATAGCCCTATTTACAGTGTTGTCAAATTGTTTTCTGGCATTCATCACCTTGGTGTTTTGTGTTTTAAGGTTGAAAATCTGGATTGTAATGAAATAAAAAGATAAAAGAACCAACGTGTTTAAACAGAAAGGGTGCAGAAATCAGCTATTTTGCTGTTGTATTAATTGATAAAATAGTAGTTTACAGTTAATTGTAGGGGAAATGTATTAAGCAATAATCTAAACTTTTAATTAGTGTATACTTTATTCAAGAGACAGTTTCTGCTTGGTCCTCGACATGTTTCTGTTGCGAGCTGACCAAGGGTGTTTTGTTGAGCAGATCCAAGATCTCCTGGAGTGTAAGACCTCGAGTGTCTGGTAGGACGAAGATTGTGAACAGCAGTGCTGCCACACAGCAGGCTGAGAAGATGAAGAATGCGAAGTGTGCACCCAGATGGTCAGAGACACTGTTGAAGAACTTGGTGATGACAAAGCCAAGCAGCCAACAGAAGGAGGCCGTTATCGCAGCCGCGAGAGCCTTCACATTGGAGGGAAACACTTCCGCCATCACCGCCCAGGGCAGTGGGCCGAACCCTATAATATAGGCAATTATTCGGATCATTATTCATCAAATAATTGTTAAGTAATTGAATACAGAATTCAAATTCTAAAACAAAACCACTTTGTGACCTAAATTTTGTAGATGTATTATAAAATAAATATTTTTGGTATAAAAGGTGTGTATAACTTACCCATTGTGTAGCAAAAAATAAAAAGCACCAAACTCGTAACTGGTACATATCCGTAAGCCGACATATCGTGGCTTGAACTCATCAAGTAGAAGTATACTCCCAGTATTGCCTGAAATATAAAAGCATGGCATTAAATTAAATAACACATAGCCTTCTCTTTTATGCCATTTAATTATCAGTAAATGTAAAAAACTTCTTGTAGGAAAGGAAAATTCATAAAAACCCTGCAAGTTTCTAGATTTATAGTAATTATGTTTTAAATCAATTGTTTTACGTGCTCATAATGCAAAAAATTACCTACAGCCACTTTGAACAAATCAAAATGGAATTTAACAGTGTACCCTACTCTTAAAAAATCAAAAAGTAATGTTATAACCATACCTGGAAAATTGCCATTCCAACAGCAGAAAAGATAAACATTTTTTTCATTCCAAAATAACGAGAGAATGGTATGGCAAAACCTCCAGCAACAAACAGCATGATACCAAGGATAAGAGTAGAGACACTAGAGGAGAAAGAGGTGCCAGCCATGATGAAGATACTCTGACCATAGAACAGCACAGCGTTGACACCAGAGATCTGTTGTCCAGCAACCATGCCACAGGCTAGCAACAGACCCATGCGGTTGCCTCTTGTGGCCACCAGGTCTGACAGATGTGCCCTCTCTTCCATAGATCTGCGCACCTCTGTCTGGACATAACCAAGCATTAATGGAGATATTCTACCTAGAACAGGACAGCGTTGACACCAGAGATCTGTTGTCCAGCATCCATACCACAGGCTAGCAACAGACCCATGCGGTTGCCTCTAGTAGCCACCAGGTCTGATAGATGAGCCTTTTCTTCCATAGATCTGCGCACCTCTGTCTGGACATAACCAAGCATTAATGGAGATATTCTATCTAGAACTGGACAGAGTTGACACCAGAGATCTGTTGTTATCCAGCAACCATGCCACAAGCTAGCAACAGACCCATGCGGTTGCCTCTAGTAGCCACCAGGTCAGACAGATGTGCCTACTCTTCCATAGATCTGCGCACCTCTGTCTGGACATAACCAAGCATTAATGGAGATATTCTATCTAGAACAGCACAGCGTTGACACCAGAGATCTGTTGTCCAGCAACCATGCCACAGGCTAGCAACAGACCCATGCGGTTGCCTCTAGTAGCCACCAGGTCTGACAGATGTGCCTACTCTTCCATAGATCTGCGCACCTCTGTCTGGACATAACCAAGCATTAATGGAGATATTCAAGCTAGAACAAGACAGCGTTGACACCAGAGATCTGTGTCCAGCAACCATGCCACAAGCTAGCAACAGACCCATGCGGTTGCCTCTTGTGGCCACCAGGTCTGACAGATGAGCCTTTTCTTCCATAGATATGCGCACCTCTGTCTGGACATAACCAAGCATTAATGGAGATATTCAAGCTAGAACAAGACAGCGTTGACACCAGAGATCTGTTGTCCAGCAACCATGCCACAAGCTAGCAACAGACCCATGCGGTTGCCTCTTGTGGCCACCAGGTCTGACAGATGTGCCCTCTCTTCCATAGATCTGCGCACCTCTGTCTGGACATAACCAAGCATTAATGGAAATATTCTACCTAGAACAGGCAAGCGTTGACACCAGAGATCTGTTGTCCAGCAACCATGCCACAAGCTAGCAACAGACCCATGCGGTTGCCTCTTGTGGCCACCAGGTCTGACAGATGAGCCTTTTCTTCCATAGATATGCGCACCTCTGTCTGGACATAACCAAGCATTAATGGAGATATTCAAGCTAGAACAAGACAGCGTTGACACCAGAGATCTGTTGTCCAGCAACCATGCCACAAGCTAGCAACAGACCCATGCGGTTGCCTCTTGTGGCCACCAGGTCTGACAGATGAGCCTTCTCTTCCATAGATAAGCGCACCTCTGTCTGGACATAACCAAGCATTAATGGAAATATTCTACCTAGAACAGGCAAGCGTTGACACCAGAGATCTGTTGTCCAGCAACCATGCCACAAGGTACAGAAGTAACAGACACATGTGGTTCCACGTGCATCCTGATAATCCTAGCAACCTTTACAAGTCCTTACGATGGTCTACTAGTTTGCCACCTAGTTATGTATACAGAACTGTACCACTACTAACAGAACAAAGAAAGCCCTTTATTCTGTTAACACGCACACTTCATTTAGTCCTGAATTTTTTCACCTATTTTGTTATGATACTATTATACATTAGAGTTAAGTTCTAAATAACAAATCTATAAGAATATAAATTGGTATTTTAATTACTATATAAAATTATTGATTGAAATTCTTTTTGATTCTAATTGTTGCAAAACTTTTTCAAATGGTTTTGCAAAGATTTGATGTTTGGTCTTCAATCTATTTCTGAAATAAAACAAAATTGTAATTGTTGAATCCTTATTTCTTATCTATTACCTATTAATTACATATATTCAACATAGTCGACATAGTATGACAGTCCTGGAGTTTAATTTTATTTCTAATCAAGCTCTGTGTAAGAAAATTTAATGATTAGAAAATTCAATGCAGTTTTGAAATTCATCATGGGACTTCACTGCCATTTGCATTCATTAAGGTTCACCAATTAGCTGTAAATTTAAGATAGGTTTTTCACCTGGATTTCATTTATTTCTTTCTGCACTTCCTCTTCTTTTCTGCCAGATCTCAGCCAAGTTAGACTGTCCGAGGCACTGGCATAGTCATTTTTTCGTAGAAAGTAGTAAGGAGATTCAGGAGTCAAGCTGAACAGAAGGAAGAAGAGAATCGCAGGAATAAAGTTCAACCAGATGAGGTTGAGTAGGTGACGTAAGACCAAAAGAGTACTCGATGAGATATCCTCCGACGAGGAAAAAGGCAAACATCGATCCCAGAGCTCCTCTTACATCTGGCTGAAAGATATTCAATTTTAGTTTAATTGAACTTTTATCTCAAATTGATAAACTTATTGTTATTTTTTGTTTAGATACTTAGAAGGAAAGAAACTGTATAACATAGGAAACAGAAATCACAAATAGGTAACTCCTAATTTCTTTTATTGAAAAGTTAAACAATTGCTTTATTCATTGGTGGCACATTTTCATGTTTTATATCTTAAGAATCTTGTGTTCTGAGCAGTAGTTTTGTAATATTCTAAAAGTGTAGAATCACTTACTTCAGCGATTTCTGCAACATACACAGGACACACCAGAAAGCGATTCCTCCACCAATCCCTCCAATGACCCTGCCTACGTACAGCTGCCATAGAGATTCTGCTGTCAGTAGAACCAGCCATGCCACCAGGCTGATCACAACCTGCAATCAACATTCAACTGACTAAATTACCTCTACAGTATTACACAGTATCTGGTAATTTATCGTCTAGCTGGCTTTAGATTAAAATTTTGTCTGCTGCGCGACATGATCTTCTGTAAAGCACTGTACTGTTACTTATTCTTAAATCCACAATTAATAGCTATCATAACTACATGTACTGACACTTAGCAGTGTCCTGCATTCTTTTGAATGCTAAATTATAAAAACCCAGATAGGTCAAAAATCTTAAACATTGTCAAATACTCTGTAACTTGTGAGACAAAGTGGTAATAGGTTTAATTGTGTTGAACCTTGAAACTCCATATGATTTAGTGAAAGGTGTTACTCACAGACAGTATGATGCTGCGTCTGCGGCCCACGTGGTCCATGAGCCAGCCGCCCAGGAAGGGCCCTGCTACCGTGCCCAGGGCCGTCAGAGAGCCAACCCACGAGGCTTCCTCATCATTCAGCAACAACCATGAGTCCGATGCCTGCAGCTTGGGAATAGTTGGGGAAGACAACTGTAGTGTGTGCCAACCGATGTGGATGCCAGATTGGCTGTAATTCCCAATTCTTTTCAGAACTTCACATGCAACTTCATTGTACCATAGATAAATCATACGTACTCTCATAAAAGCAGTCATGTAAAGTTATACCGTCTTCCGTATTGTGGATTGATGAGAGGGTAATGGATCTAAAGCTTAAATTGTATTTAAGACAGTTCTAATCACGTGGGCATTTGTTATAAATATTGGGCTTGTAACCCACGGTCATTGTAACTTCTAGAGTAGACAGCACGAATATGGTTTGATTATATATTCAATACTGTAATGCAGAATTTATACAGCTAATACACAATAACCAGCTAATGCTGTAACAATTTCTGTCAGACCATTTTGTGTGGCTTACTACTGTTGCATTCCCATAATAAGTTCAGATGCAATTAATTACCTTGCAAGTTTATCATTCAAAGAAGTTCCCAATTTGTTAGAAGTTTTATAAAAATAATATTAAAATAAAAGCTCATGGCAAATTTTCATGTACCTATATAAGTGTTTGTCCAACCATTATTGATATATTTAAAACTTTTTTATCACTATTTTTACTTTATGGCACATGTACCATAATTTGACAACAAATCAATAATCCACTTGTGTCTGGACCAAACACACATTTGAAGTAATTGTTGCCAGTTTAATTGAAAGAAAGTAGCCCGATTGCCCCATTGGTCAGGGTTTTTTCCCACCCCACACTATACTATTGTGCTGACAGCCCTTTCCACCCTTTTTTTATCGCCCAATGGTCAGTTCATTCTCATTCCTTAAACGGAAGTTGGCTTTTTCAGTAACTAGCATTAATGAGCTACAAATTTAACTAGCATATTTTAATTTATTTATTACTCGCATACTCTAGTAAAAAATTAATACGGTAGTTGACTGGACAGTGGACGAGGTCAGAAGTGGAGATGTGTGAAGAAAAAGTGTAACGCTAAATTATTCTTAAATATAACTATTAATCGTTTAATAATGATGTATTGCCCGTTGTTTTTCCCCTGCTATTGTTAAATGAACCATGGTCTGATGAAAGATAGTATCGTGTTTCCTAAATGCTACTTAAAAATTTAATATTTAGCAATTGTTAAATATATTATATTCATTTGTGTTAATGGCTAAGTGATGAATTGTTTTCTCGTATTTATCTATTTCATTTAAAATACTGTGATGTGGCCTCACACCCAATTGATTTAACAATCCTAGGTTTCCAATCAGACCAGCCACCCTTAAACTATACTATAAATCATCCTTCTACCTAAATTTACTATGTGGTTCTAGTATCTTAGTTATACTGTACAAATATTTACAACAGTAAATAAAGATGTTCAGTCAAATCCAAGTGTGTTTAATTTCTCTAATCCTGATAATCAGATAAATTAGAAGTGTTTATTAGTGATCTATGATAACCTTTCAATTGATAATCCTCAGCTTAAGAGTCTTTGTAATCAAAATTTCAACAAGTACATTGTAGTGTTCAATTGTAAAATAAAAGGAGAGTGATTGGAAATTTATCTTTTTTAGTTTTAAGTTGATTGATACTGTTTTCCAATCCCATTATTAAACTAGGATGTATTCTGTATTTTTATTGTCAGTGTAGATTGCAGAGCACTAAACTAACCATATCATGTCTTAAATAAACAAGATTTTGTATAGCACCTTGTATAAACAAGGCATTGTATAGATGTTAAAATGTGATTTCTTATTTGAAAATTTATTTCTCTGTTCGTTATTAAAAAAAGATCTATTTTCCCTTTATTGTTCTAATTTCTGCACATTTCTAGCTAGTGTAGTTAAAAATAGGCATGTGTAAATCAACATGTTTGATTCACCATAATTTCAGTAATTTGTGGTGGAATCCTAAAAAATGTCTGCCAGGAACCAAAATAAACCAACATTGCATTGATATGTGTAATATGGTGTGATAAAATTATTGTCATACAAATCGCCAACTTGTTGATTGAAAAGTCCTTTTATAGCAATGCACAACATAACTCACTCTATTTAAGTCCCGCAAAGATAGCAAAACTCAGGTAGAATTAAAGATAGTTTGTTAACGAATAGTGATAAAATTCAAGGCCAGGCGGTTTGCCATTTAAAATGAACTTATTCCATGTATGGCTTTATGTGACAGGAAAAATGTCTTGAAACCTGAAGGTTGTTACTTTCTGTCCTGAGGATTAATTCTATAGCCAAGCCACTTTTGTTTGTCAATGGGTTTCTAACACGGCTCCTATCTTACAATAATATTGTATTGTATAATCAACTTTGTAATTTATTTCAATCAACTTTAATTTAATCTTACTAATATTATAAACTAGCTGGCCCGACAGACGTCGTCCTGTCCTATTGTGGTTTTATGTCACATGCTCGTTCATTTTCAAGATGAGCTCGTTCGCATGGCTCAATCACGTCCTGGTTGAAGTTCGTTCGCTACGCTCACTCACCTTTAGGTTGGAGCTCGTTCGCTGCGCTCACTTGCCTTCAGGTTAGCTCGTTTGCTAAACCTAAATCGTTCGGTAAACCTATTAACTTTTTAATGTTATTGAACATCACAGAATCAAATTGTTTAGTTGCACCAGTAGTCCAATCATATAAGGAATTTCCCGGGAAAAAATTCCCGAAGTTTTTTTCTCAGTGGTTTCTTATGTATTTTTTGACGCTGAATCCGATTTTAAGCTTTGCCACCTCGCCAGAGGTGAGCTAACTTCAGAAATCGCAAAAAACTAAATAAATACTGTACATCTTTTACTTTTTTACGCATAACTCACAAACGGAGTATTTTTTTGCAATAACTGTCATTTACTAAATTAAAGTACACTAAATTCCCTACAATATACATACTATAACTTTATTTCTACGATGTTCCAAACTGACGATAGAGCGCGCTCAACATTCATAGTTTTCTTTTACCTATTGGAAAACGTAGGAAACACCATTATAAATCCTTGGATTAGACACCCAACAAACTCTATTTGATGAATATTGATTATTTTATAATTATATGGTACCATTAGGTCACATTTAGTGTTAAAAAAATGTAAGTGATGTTTATAGTCGGTAACCATAGCAATAAATAAATAACAAAACAATTTTCAATTTAAACTAGAGGACCCATGCTGATCCGCAGCGTTAAAATAAATATAATATCCGAAAATAAATAAAATTTATGATTTTTTATTGAACAATACAGTATTCTTAATCGCTTAAATAGAAGCCGGCATTTCACTGAAAGTTCTTAGAAAATATATAGGATTATATAATTATAACTGGTGAAATACATCTTGAATTGATGTAAGAATTCGAAAATAATCAAATTATGTTTTTTGTCGATTAATACAGTAGGTAAATATATGCCGATGCTTGATGTGAAATATTTGCGTGCATGACATCAATTTGCGACCTAAATCATTAAAATCATTAAAACATGGGGAGCAAATTTCATTTACGTTTAACCTGAGTGGGATTATAGATAAATACATGCCGATGCTTGATGGCAAATCTGTGCGTGCATACCTTCAATTTGAGACCTCAATCATGTTAATCGGCTGGGTAGAAGAGCCAAACGTAGTCGGAAAAGAAAAACAATTTTTTTATATATAAGATACCTGTGAAAGTTATTATTATAAACCAATGTGCCAATTATAAATATAGTTTAATATGCTGGGGCTGCAGTATATATTCCATTTTCCCCATATATGTACATTATATAGATAGTATGTTTATAAAATGTACACACTATATACAGAAAATAGACAGAGATGTTGACTGATATGCTATAGACGAGCTTCTATTTACTAAATTAACATGTACAACTATAACTTTTATTTTTTTATTTTCTCCTCACTTTTCGTTTTTATTTTCTTGACTGGCTAGGGGTCCAGTCTAGTTTCAAGAGAGCATCTGGGGCAGGGCTTCATAAGGTAGTAATAGGAACAAATGAGTTTGCAGTCTTTCTCCAGCCCCAATCCTCGGGTGACAACTTCTTTCTTAAACTTGGTTCTGGGAGTGTTGTTCAGCTGCAGCTTCAGTTGGTGTAGAAGAGATAATATATTACCATTCATCTTATAAGCTGATGTAATACAACTCTTGAATCGCAGCTTATTCAGCTTGTTAGTTATATGGTTACCACCATACAAGGCCACCAAGAGTCTCTCCCCTGCCTCGGTAATTTCGTTTGTTGTTGAATTGGGATTAGAAAACCGGCAATGATAGGTATAGAGGTCGTTATGTCTTATGACTCGACGTCCGATCTATTCCAACAAGGTAAAGTAAAGACACTAAAGATAGTCAAGAAAATAAAGACGGCAAGTGAGGTGAAAATAGGAAAATAAAAGTTATAGTTGTACATGTTAATTTAATAAATAGAAGCTCGTCTACAGCATTTCAGTCAACATCCCTGTCTATGTTTTTTATATAGCGTGTACATTCATAATTATACCATTTATATAATGTACATATATGGGGAAAATGGTATCCATACTGCAGCCCCACCATATTAAACTATATTTTTAATCGAGCCTGTGATTTATAATAATAATTTTTAAATGTTTTTTAATTGAAAATTGTTTTCTAATTTTTTTTAAGCTATGGTTACCGACTATAAACTTCACTTACATTTTTTTACCACTAATGTGACCTAATGATACCATGTAATTATAAAATAATCAATATTCATCAAATAGAGTTCGTTGGGTGTCTAATCCAAGGATTTATAATGGTGTTTCCTACGTTTTCCAATAGGTAAAAGAAAATGGTGAATTTTGAGCGCGCTCTAGTGTCAGTTTGGAACATCGTAAAAATAAATATATTATACGTATATTGTAGGGAATTTAGTGTACTTTAATTTAGTAAATGACAGTTATTGCAAAAAATACTCCGTTTGTAAGTTATACGCAAAAAAGTAAAACAAGTACAGTATTTTATTAGTTTTTTTTGCGATTTCTGAAGTTAGCTCACCTCTGGCGAGG